CCCCAAAACCCCAAAACCCCAAAACCCCAAAACCCCAAAACCCCAGTATTTGTAATCTTAATTGAAAAAGGAATCAATGCTGAAAATATATTATTTCAGCTTATTTTAGAAGTGTCTAGATTGCATCAGCGAAGTTCTCGAAGCCTTCTTTATTGTCGTTTCTTGAGAGCACTTCGAGACAGTCATCTAAGACTTCGTCTCTATCGAAGTAAATTTGGGATGGATGAGAGTTTTCCTGAATTGCTCATCAGTCTAAATCAATACTGGACTCGTCCATTTTTAGATCTAATTCTACACCTGCCTCTGGATGAGAATTATGTTTGGATCAATTCCCAAAAGACGAACTTTCAGGCGCTTCGTCCCAGTTAATGTTTTTAAACTTTTCTTGACTTTTAACAATCCGGGAGCCTTCGTCAGTAGATTTAGAGTTTTCCTCATATGGTATATTAGTAGAGCCGAATCTATTTCTTTTATACTTAGCCATACAAGGAGGTTCTAAGAGCCTATTCTTAGTGCTCATATTTCCAGATTTATACTGGTTTTGGAGCTCCTCATTTTCGTTGGCAAAGTGCAAATTTTTCCTCATAAGACTCTTGGCCGTACAAGGCTCAAGGTAAAACTTGGGAGAAGTCTTCTCATCATGTTCCAGCTCCATATGAGTCATATTGGAAACTACCTCTGAAAGTTGGCTTTTAAGACTTGTGATTTTGGCTTTGAGGTCTTCATTCTCCTTGACAACATTGGAGATCTTCCTCTGGCTGGTGACTTCATCACAGAGGTAATCAATTTGGGACAGTTTCTCTTGTAAGTCCGGGTGCTGATTTGCGTATGAGACTATGACATCTTCGAACTCTTTCCACTTGTTCTCCTTCTCTTGAAGGAGATATTCCTTCATTTCTAGAGCATCCTTCGTGTCGGCAAGTTGTTCCTTGAGGTCTCCCACTTCGGCATTGTGGAGTTTATGATGATCGGAAATAATCTTGTTTAGAATCATAATTTCATTTTGACATTTCTCGTCAGTCTCTCTCAATTGGAGAACAAGATTTTCAATTACTTGTTTGTTGATAGAGACATTTTCTTGTAAACGAGAGATCTCTTCTCAAGCCTTTTTGTATAATTGCTGGTACTCCATTAAGATAAGTTAATTTATATTTCTTCGATCTTCGATGTTTAAAGGGGTTTTGGGGTTTTGGGGTTTTGGGG